TTGTATAGATTATTTGGAACCTAAAACTCTAACACAAAGGTCTTCTTCCAAAGGAAAAGTCTATGCTTCTGCCTAGACTATTTTGTGGTTAGTTATTTTAAACTGCAGACTGTATCTATTAATAAAACAAGAATGCACCTTGTTTTTTTCAGAAAGGTTTCCTTCATTTAGATAAAAGCACTTTGGAAGGTAATACAGTCGACAATATCAGTTTCTCCCCCATTTTGGGTAAGGAAGAAAGTCTGAATCTCCTGCGGGCCATCCAAAGGCAGAGAGAAGGAGAAGTGCTGCCCCAGAGGCATACATACACACCTGCACCTCTTCCTTCCATGCCTGCACTCCTGAGCAGGGAGGGTCTGGGAAAGGAGGAACACCTTCCCCCAGAGGTATTGCTTTGTTGTACAGCGTCTTCTAAAGATCACTGGAGGTGGGAATAGAGACACTAAAGCCTGATATTTTACCCTTCTCAATTTATTCACCTCTAGGGCTTTATACTCTCAACTGTTGCCTAACTTATCTTTCTTTTCTATGGTTATGGACCTTTCTTTTTTTTTTTTTTTTTTTTTTCCTTGCGTTATGCGGGCCTCTCACTGTTGTGGCCTCTCCCATTTGCGGAGCACAGGCTCCGGACGCGCAGGCCCAGCGGCCATGGCTCACGGGCCCAGCCGCTCCGCGGCATGTGGGATCTTCCCGAAACGGGGCACGAACCCGCGTCTCCTGCATCGGCAGGCGGACTCTCAAGCACTGCGCCACCAGGGAAGCCCTGGACCTTTCTTACTTAATATTCACTCTCTTGCGCTTAACTTTGGCTCATAGTGAAACTCCAAGCTCACCCTTCCCAGCCTAACCCTTAGTACATAAAGAGAAGTGTTTTATATTTAGAAGAAAGAAGTTCCTCCCTCAATAAAAGTCCAATTTTCTATGCTAGTATGTCTATAAACACTCAAAACCTTTTAAAACATAGAACAAATGAAATGACCCCTTTGTTCTTAATTATATAAATTTACCCTTCTGTTAAACTAGTGAATCAGAAGAGCAAGGTTTATTGAGAATGGAAAGATCTTGGCTTCATATCTCAAAAATATGATCCCTGTAATATTAATAACAAAGGAAAGACATGAAAAGATTGATAAAAAACCTAGGTGGTTGTATAAAGAACTATATCCATGCGAAAACTTGGAGAAGATTGTTATAAAATGTGGACAGTAGGATAAGTTATCAAGGAGGAGTACCATAAAATAAATAAATTGAAGAGATAAAATCTGAAAAAGCAAACAAGAATTAGGAGCAACTTGCAGAAGTCATCAAAGGAAATAGAAAACTATTATTTTCAAGTGCCAGGGTAGGATGTGTTATTGCAATTTTAGAAGTCAGGAAGTCAGTAAATTCTGGTAGCAATTTTTGCAATACCAGCTCCCCATAAAATTCTTTTAACAGCTCCACAAGTTGTATAAGCTATCTTATAATAAAAAGTTAAATTAATGAGAAGTATAGACTATCATTTTCAGATCTATTATACAGTGCCTACCTGTTAATTATTTTTTGGTTTAGATTATATTAATGGTCCTATTATTTCTGGTATACAGAATGTATGTACTTAACTATGACTCAGTTACACAGATGAAGAATGAAACCACAATTTGGGCAATAAAGTTTTTTTCCAATTGCAATGTAATACTTTAGGTATTATTCAGTTATTTCAAAAAAGTGACTTACTGCTTGTTCTAGAAACTAAACTGAATGAGATGAATCTTCAGTGGCCCAAATACCTAATTTATTAAGTTAAAATGTAATATAACCACATAGAACATTCACAGTTAGAGACATACTACATATTAAAAATGATTACAATCAGTTTGGCATTATACACTTTCACAATATATAAGGCAGCTTATAAATGTATGATAGCTTTGTTTTATGAATTTAACCTGCAGTTAAGGAAGTCAACATGCTGGCTTTAAAAAAAACTCCTGCAAATTTTTTCCTTTTTAAAACTCAACACAAATCTTTAAGACTTTCATATGGTTTGACTTTAATTTTATATAGCAATATTTACTGCCTATTCAGTGTGTCCTTTTATCTTTGATACTGTGATGATGTTTAATCAAGATATATTGAATTGGAACAGAAACATCAAAACTTTTTGATAGTCTGGCAAATTGCCTGAATTGTCTTGGATCAGTTCTGTGAGTTCATGCAGGATTGCAGGTTGCTATGTCAGACAATCCATTTTTCACCCACACAACTAAATTTTACATAGATTCACTATTCTTTGAATTTTAATGTGTCAGTAATTCAAAGTCAGTGACTCCAGTAAGACAGTAACGTACCTATCTTTTGCCTTAACAGTTATCTATTGGTAAGTGGTAAATTTGATATATGTGTGACAGAAGGAACAAGAATTTAAATGCTTAACAAAGTTATAAGCCCCATCTGCCAAATACCAAGAAAGAAAAGAAGTGATAAATGAACAACCGTGTTAATATAGTAACTTATAAGAATCTGAAGAAAGCCAATTCTAATCATCCTATGAGCATTTAAAAGGAAGATTTGTTAAGCAACAGATTCGGTGTCAAATTACATTATTGGAAGATGATTCCCTTAATGGATGATTATCACTAAAGAACATTTAAGGGAATCCATTGGGGCCAAATAGAGAAAGGGATATCCTTGACTGAAGTGCTTTTTGGTTGTTTCAATCTGAGGAAGGGCATGGTATCAAAGAAGAGGAAAATATAAATTTGATGAGAAGTTAGGTTGCTATCATGGCACCAGACACTCCAGCCTTTACTGAGATAATATTACCTGTGAAAAGAACAAGAGTGAAAAGTGAAAAGCTTGCCCTAATATCCCTTAACCTGGGGCATGGGAAGTAAGAAGAGTGGGGCGGGTGGAGAAACAAGGAGCCTGAGACACAGAATGCTTCCTGTCCAGACAGTGTACAAAGGTCTTCTGTTTAACACAATATTGCATTTTATTTACTTTACATCATTCGAACATTGATTTCCAGCTTTGCTTCCTTAATTACTGTTGGTGCTTTAAATTAAGAACAGTGAAGTTATGAAAGTCTTTTTCTTAATGATAATATGTACTGAAAGGAAGTGAAGTTGAAAAGCAAAATGTATTTCAATGTGGTGAGCATTGGTGTGTGTAATCTGAAAAATAAACTGAAATTTCACTTGTAATTGTAATCCCTTCTACAAAGGAAAATGTGCCTTTTGAAAGACATAACACATCTATTTGATGTGGTACTCATTTGAGAATTAAAATATCTGAGTTTCCTCCATTTTAAGGTTATTTAACTCTCCTAGTATTTCATTTCCCTACTAGTAAACCAAAGAAGATAATATTTTCACCTCTTGGAAACATTGTTAAGGGTACACTTTTTTTCCTGACACAACACAAGATGTTTTGAGAAATAATCTGAGAAATGTTCAAGTGGTTACTATTGATTATTCCTTTTTCTTTACACTTCAAATGCATTTCAGTTCTTTCCTCTACTGGAAATACGGCAGACTGCTTTCATTTCCATTACAGATCTCAAATTCATTCCTTTTCCATTGTGGGTTTTCTCGTTTCCAAGCCAGTTGAATATTCCCCCTCTACTATTCAAAACCCAACTCTGAATTACCCTCTCATGCAAAACTTTTGAACATATATGTAGGAACAGGACTCTGATGTATGGACAGTTCTTCAGCTTTGCTTCAATTTTCCTTTTATTTTCATCGACAGTAAAATTTTCTGGAGAGTACAATCAAGATAGTGTATTCATAGAAATAAGATTAATAGAAGCTAGGTCATAAATGAGAACAGTCATAATAACAACGATCTCCCTTTCCAAGGCATTCCACACAGAGAGATAACAGCACAATAAATAAAGAATTTGCCGTTTGTCACACAACAAGTAAAACAGAATTGCAATAACAAAAACTGTAATTTTATAAATGTTCTTATACTAAAAATAAAAGCAAAAATATGAGATCATGCACTAGAGACAAAAGCTAAGAGTGAAGAGTTATAGCAAAAAAACATTACAAAAAATAAACATGTTCAAGTATTGTGAGAGGAGAGGGGAAGATTCAAATAGAAAAGTTTCAGGATAAATCAATTATATTTACTACCCTGGGAGGGACACCGACATAATTGTTTTTGTCCATTAATACTTTAGGCTGTTAAAATACACACTGTTATCCATGTAAAAGACAGATTCCATTTCCTTGGGGGCACCTCTCATATTACAAGGATGGAATAAAATTCATTGTTTACCTTGATTATAAATAGATGATAGTACTTTAGGAGAGATAGTCTCAAGAACAGGCCAGTGCGATGCCCTGGAATAGTAGGAGCCTGGGAGTGAGAAAACGGATTCTAGTCCTGTTGTTTTACACCATTGTCTGTGAAAGATACTTCCCAGTCCTGAAATAAAATTTCACCTCATGTTTCAATTTTCCGGTAAGAGTTGAACTACCAGAACGAGCAGAGACCAGTAAAAATAATAACAACGATAATAATAAAAGAGTTAAACATTTTTCTTGATGCTTACTTTCTTAAAAAAGTTAAAGAAAACAGAAGCTGGATCACTTAATAGAACTAAGAATTGAAGAATGCTTTAGTGGGATTGTTCCTTCAGCATAACAATTTCTTCCCCAACATCACTAATCTAAGCAGTGCCTTTATACTTTGTGGTTGAATATTATATCAGATTTGAACAGTGGCTAGTTTCTCTACATGATTAGGAGACGCATGTTTGTCATGGGAGTAAAAAAATAAAATTTGTCTGTTAAATTACACATAAATATAAGGTACAAATGTATTTTTAAAATACAGATTAAAATAATCACACTTGCATCGTGTACATACGAAAATACAGTATTTAATATTCAATATACACAGACACATTTATGATAAATGCAACTATGTGGCAATGCCAGTTCTTGCAGGGGTTTTCGCTGTCCCCTGTTTCCACATATATGGACACAAAAATGCTTTGCTATCATTTCCTAGCTCTGGCGGACATCTTGAAGCAGTTTGTTAATCTCAGCCACTAGCTCACTGGCATCCATGAGTTCATGTTTGCTGTCACCGAGGTGGCTGAGCACGTTGTCGAAATCATCCTCTTCATAGTTTTCAGGGATTTCCTCCATGGCCGGCAGCCATTTTGAAAAAGGCTGCACACTGGAATGAGCTCCAAGTGGGGGGCCAGAGTTGGCGGCGGGGTTTTGAAAATGCGTACTGGCCGCCCAGGCCGCCACCCCTTGTGGGTAACCCACCGTCTTGGCTGACAGAGGCCCCTTCCGGCGTTCCAGAGAGTTGCATCGATCCATCTCACTGCACTCAGAATAGGTGTCCAGGGAAGGGGGTAAGAGGCGCTGGAACACATTGCTCATTTCCGAGAGCAGAGAGGACGTGCTGGTGTCCCCAGAGTCCTCACCGTTTGGCGAGTCCTTCCCGAAAGTGGAAAAACTCTTCTTCTTCTCACCGGAATCTACCGGCTGCGTGTCATCCTCGAGACTCGGATGCGGATGTTGCTGCTGCGGCTGTGCTGGGAATTCTTCCCCCGGAATGAACATGTTACTCCTATAATCAGAGGAAGGTGAGGGCAGAGGTGGCATCCAGCACTGGTCAGAGTGTCCCAGGACCCTGCACTCTTCCGTGCACAGCCTCATAGCTGCACTCAAGGAAAGCAGTGGGGATTCGTTATTATACTTCATGGGACTCAAAATAATAGAAAAAATGATCATTTTATTTTTTAAAACATAGAATAAGACAATTTCAAACTGTGACCATGATACTAACCCGTTATTATACATACGAGGTGGACCACAGTTACAACTTTGATTTGACTGCTGGTTTTGTGAACCTGGGATATATATTTTTTTGTCTCTCAGATAAGCAGAGGAGGGTTGTGACTCATGTGCTCCTCAGGGATGTCATCTGCTACTCATGTAATGAGAAAACGGATTGACAACTTACTAATGGAGAAGTTTGGAAAAGAGCTAAGGTGTGGACGATGAAATATTTGCGGAACATAAACTATAAAAACCCAGAGCTGTAAGGGGAAATCCATGACTTTAGAATGCCACCAGATAAGCCCTGCGTAATACCATTGAGTACCTTCCGGATATTGAGGTCTATCTGACCTACTTTACTTTTAATGGAGGCATTGAGAATATAACAAGCTATCGGGTAGTTATACTTATCAATCTCTCTTACAAGTATGCTGGATTATTGATCGACTTGTTCCTTAAAACGGCAGTGCAAATTATCCTCAAATACCAGGCACCTGCAGTTACCCTGTTAAGAAGTCTTTCAGAGGTTTGAAATTCAAAGAGTTGGAAAAGTCATCAAAAGATGAAGAATAAGAAAAACCACTGGTTAGTTCTTCCAGATGTTACGATGCACTGTTGGAATGTGAGTGGTTACACTCATAGAAAATAATCGATGGTATGAGAAAAGCAGAAAAATGAAGAGGGTAAAACTCTAAATTTGGCAAATGTGATAACTCAACTACAGAGCCACCAAGAAATGTGGAGATGTAAAATATACTCCACAAACCATCCATCTTTTTCAGTGACAGCTTAGGTCTCTTCAATATCATGATTTCATTTTAGAGCAAATGACCGAATTCAGAAAATGCAAAGTAATTATCTTAGATTTGAATGAAAACTGGATTGATATCAGCCATACTTACATATTCAGAGCTAATTCTGTGGATCTGGCTGCTTAAGAAAGATTTCTCTTCCTCCCAAGTTATTGCTAAAAGAAGCACTGACTCTTGAACAATGCCAAATCCCTGGTCAGGGGAAACTAGTTGTTCAGTGTGCTTATTGCTGTACCCACAGCACCTGGGAAAGGTCTAAAGCGTCTGCATAGAGTAGGCATTCACTACATATTTTCTAATCATCAGGGAAATGCAAATCAAAAAGCACAATAAGAAATCACCTCAAACCAGTTTTATTACAGGATGGCTGTAATAAAACACAAACCAAAAAACCCAAACAATAACAAGTGAGGGGGGGGGGGTGAGGAAAACTTGGGAACCCTTGTACAGTGTTGTGGGGAATGTAAAATGGTGCAACCACTATGGAAAATAATATAGAGGTTACTCAAAAAATTAAAAAAGAGAACTACCATATGAGCCAGTAATCCCATCTTTGGATATTTATCCAAAAGAATTGAAATCAGGATCTCGAAGAGATATTAGCATTCTTCTGTTCACTACAGCACTGTTCACAATAACCAAGATGTGAAAACAACCTAAATGTCCACTGAATGTTTAATGGAAATGTAGTATATGCATATAATGGAATATTATTCCACCTTAAAAAAGAAGAAAACTCTCTAATATGTGATAATGTGGATGAATCTTGAGGACATTAAGCTTAGCGAAATAAGCTAGTCACAGGGGGACACATAACTGCATGATTCCCTGTATATGAGACATCTAAAATGGTCAAACTCATAGAATCCAGGAGTGAAATGGTGGTTGGCAGGGATTAGGGAGAGGGGGAAATGGGGAATTGCTGATTAACAGGCATACATTTTCAGTTAAGCAAAACCCCAAAAAAAAAGAGGGGGGGGGGGGGGGGTGAGGAAAACTTGGGAACCCTTGTACAGTGTTGTGGGGAATGTAAAATGGTGCAACCACTATGGAAAATAATATAGAGGTTACTCAAAAAATTAAAAAAGAGAACTACCATATGAGCCAGTAATCCCATCTTTGGATATTTATCCAAAAGAATTGAAATCAGGATCTCGAAGAGATATTAGCATTCTTCTGTTCACTACAGCACTGTTCACAATAACCAAGATGTGAAAACAACCTAAATGTCCACTGAATGTTTAATGGAAATGTAGTATATGCATATAATGGAATATTATTCCACCTTAAAAAAGAAGAAAACTCTCTAATATGTGATAATGTGGATGAATCTTGAGGACATTAAGCTTAGCGAAATAAGCTAGTCACAGGGGGACACATAACTGCATGATTCCCTGTATATGAGACATCTAAAATGGTCAAACTCATAGAATCCAGGAGTGAAATGGTGGTTGGCAGGGATTAGGGAGAGGGGGAAATGGGGAATTGCTGATTAACAGGCATACATTTTCAGTTAAGCAAGATTAAGTTCAAGAGCTCCGCTGTACAACACTGTACCTACGGTTAATGATACTGTATTGTACAGTTAAAACTTTGTTAGCAGGGTGGATCCCGTATTTAGTGTTCTTATGCCTTAAAACAAAATTTTGGAAAAGATTTATGCACAAAAAAGAAAAGTGAAGAATAAATGTTGCCTTTCAGAAAAGGAGAAGTAAAGGACTTTGTTCTAAGGTGTGGAAGTCACTGCTTTTCATCATTTGAGCCTTGAAGATAATTCTGTCCTTATACCTCATCCATTCTGGGCCTCAGTTTTTAATAGAGAAGGGGTAAGTTGAGGGACAAAAATGAGAGCTGGAACTGTGAGAAGAAACGTCTGCTTGCCAGGAAGGCTAGAAATTCAAAGTAGGGAAGATGCTGGATAGTGTGAATGCCAATCCCATGGGAATCACAATGGCATGAGAGAGAGACAGCAATATTGAGAATCCGTGCGTCATTTTGCTATGAAGAAGGGTTAAATTTAAATAAGCAAGAATAAAAAGATGTTTAGATGTGCTGACTTAATGCATTATTACTATTTGGAAATATTTACCAACTATCGTTGTTCATCATTTAAATGTGGACAAAACCAAAATGTGTTGAAAGTAACTGGAATACTTTCATAGCACTGAGGTTTTCTAAGTGCTGAAATAACTATCAAAGTGGTAATGAATTTTTTTCCCCTAATTCCCTGAGTCTCTGAAAATGGAAAGGAGACCTGTCCATATTGTCTTACTCACATCCTTTTAGAAGGAAGGGGAACAGACCTGATGACACCTCTTCATTTGTTTTCTGGTCTTTAATTCTGTGGGAAGGACTTAATTGTTTGATTGGATTTGTTTTGTTTCAATGTTTAATGACGGGGGGGGGGGAAGGGAAAAATTACACAAGCTTCTAAGAATCCTGAGCATGATCAACTTTCTAGAGAGCTGAACATAATGAAAATAACCATCAGTACCATCTGGGTGATTCAAACAACAGTTCATATTAAAAATAAATTTGGTCATAGGAGTTTTTAGACAGGGAATGCTATTTTATAACTTCACAGTAAATAAATGGGGCTTTAGTAATAAAAAAGTTAATTAACATAAAATTTTAAAATTCAAAAAATATGAAAAATTGATGAATAAAGACTAATGGGGAGAAGGAGGGCCAAAATAATAGAGATGGAAGAGCAGTGGCACAGAAGAGGGCATTTCTTAATTTCATTGATATTTTCAACCTTTCTCCTGAGACTCAACTGTTCGAAATCATCCTCAGTGTACATGTAACTTAGTGCCACAGATGTTCCACACCATATCCAATGAGTCAGAACTTGTTGGCTAGTGGTGCAAATGACAACCTTCCTGTCGCTCCTTGAAAACTCTGTCAGGTGGTTAAATTTCCTCTGGAAAGGGAAAGTCATGGAGAAACAGAGAACTCTTTTTTCCCACAGCATGATGGCCAATTTTGCCCCTGTGCTAGACCTTATAGGTAGGGCAGGAAACAAGCATGGGACATAAGGAGAAAAACATATGCCTAACATCTATCAAGCCATTAGTCATTGAGTAATCAATCAATTATCTATTAAGAGCCTGCCATATGTAAAGTGCTATGATAGCTTCCTGCCCTCAAATGGCTTCTGGTATAAGAATAATCAAGTGTTACAAATGAGGTCATAAATGCCCAGTTAAAGTGCCAAACTATACAATGATGAGGGCATGTTAAAAAAAGAAAAAAAAAAAAATACTGTACGATGTCACTTATATGTGGAATCTAAGAAACTACAGCAAACTAGTGAATATAACAAAAAAGAAGCAGACTCACGGAGGTAGAGAACAAGCTAGTGGTTAACAGTGGAGAGGGAAGGGGGGAGAGGCATGATAGGGGTAAGGGATTCAGTGGTACAAACTGTTGGGTATAAAATAAATAAGCTACAAGGATATATTGTACAGCACAGGGAATATAGCCAATATTCTATAATAACTGTAAATGGAGTATAACCTTTAAAAATTGTGAATCACTATATTGTACGTCTATAACTTATATAAAATTGTACAGCATCTCTACTTCAGTAAAAATAAAATTTAAAAAAAAGAAAAGAAAAAAGAGTAGAGGTGGATGCTGAAATAGTTAAAGAGCAAAACCTGAAACAAACTTTGAGAGATGAATAGAAGACAAAGTGAAGAGAAGCCAGTCTTTCGGGCAGAAAGGTGACATGGGCAAAGGATTGGTGTGTTACGTGAAGAGATGGCTCTGCCTATTGCACAAGATACAAAAAAAAAAAAAAAAAAAGTTAATAAGCTACGAGTGGATTTCATTGGCCTTGGAATGCCAAGATAAATAGCTGAATTAGGTGTTTCCAGGCAATAAAAGTCAATTATTGCTTTTGAAACAAAAAGTATAAATTAAAATGTCCTGAAAAAGTTGTTCAAGCTGTGTATGAAAGAAAGATTTGGCAAGGAAAGAAGCTACTGGGGAGTGAATATCAATTCATGTGCTGGTACAGAAAAACAGCCATGGAAGAAAGGCCGGAAGTAGGATACCAGCCATGAGAATGATGAGGACATAGAATTAAAGACACATGTTTGAATTAAGTAATCACAGATGACACAATGATAAAAAAATGGAATGCGCCCAATCAAGGAGGAGTATCACAAGAACATCCTGGTGTAGCTGACGCTTTGGGAAAAGCGAGATTTTGCAAGCGTATAGGTAGTGTTGTGGTTCAAAGTTGACTGAGTAAGGAAGAAAGTATGTTGACAAACATGAGCCAACAGACAAAAATGCGCGCTGACTTGACTGCTCAGAATGCAGGATCCTCCTGTGGGAATTAATAGAATGAATGACCAGAAATGACCCTGTTGGCAGGCAAAGCAACATAACATAATCTATATTTGATCACAGTCTAATGCAGGAAAAACATTGTTGGAATAAGACACCGAAGTTCTAAAAATATTCATGCTTTAGAAAAACTGTGCTGATTTCTGTTAATGGCATTCAGATGTGGACTTACTTTTTTTACTTTTTTTTTTTTTTTTTCTACTCCGAAGTTCTAAAAATATTCATGCTTTAGAAAAACTGTGCTGATTTCTGTTAATGGCATTCAGATGTGGACTTACTTTTTTTACTTTTTTTTTTTTTTTCTACTTGGGATATTTCCTGGGAATATAAAGTTTACAAATCACAAATTTTACACCGTAATGTGCCAGCAGAAGCTGCCATGGTGAAGAATAAGCCAGAATATGGGTGATGTATCATCAGAATGGTGTTCATAATTAAGGGATGCTTATCTTTGTACAGATATTTGATTATGCACATTTCTAATAGCCAACCATGCATAAAGCTTAAGATATTTTATGGATCATTGGTGATTTCCTGGTGCTCTATGCCTCTAGAATACTTTCTACAACACCCCACATAGAGACAGGTTGCTAGTCAGGCAGAAGTGTATGTACTCTGATACAATCTATTGCAGTACGACGCCATACCCCAGCTCTCCCACCACACACCCAGATTAAGTATGATTGTGTAAATATGGAATTGTTTTGTAAAGAATTGTCTATATATTCACTGGTGTTGGTGATAATATAACGGTGAGCCTCTAACTTTGAAAAGAAATGTAACTTAGGAGGAGACTCAAGTTACTCACTAAATAAGACTCACTATTATCTAGAGTTTATCAATGTCTACCTGTTGTTTCCCAGATGTCTTTATTCTTTAACATTTATGTTAATTACTTTAATTCAAGCATTAGGTAACTCTCCTGCCATGAACACAGCTGGTGGTGGTAACTTTGAAAATATAGGATAGAGTGAAAGAGGCGTCGTGCCCTTTTTTAAAAAATTAGACCATGATTAGCTATTGAATTATACAATTTCAGAATTATAAAAGGACTTTAGGTATAATTTAGGCTCAGAAATGGCAAGGTTATCTAAGTAGGAGCAGTTATTCTCCTTTTAACTATACTGATAGAATTGTGTCAGTAAGTCCGACTTTCTACAATTGAAAAAATAACATATATAATGAGATAATTGATACTATACCCCTGATGTTATGTTTTATGAAATAATGTAATTTGGGAAGTCATCTTATTCAAAATTAGGGATCAATATTCAAAATTAGAGTTCTATCAGGATCACAGAATCATAGAAACTCAGCCCGCTCTTTCATTTCATGGGTAAGATAAAAATGTTTCTCTTTGAGCACGTTGTCTTAGGCCATAGGTATTCCACTAGGTTTTCAAGGATTTCTCTTTAAATGGGTCTAGGGAGTCTATGCGTTAAAAAAAGAAAAAGACACCATGGGTGACTGTAAGTATCTCGGCTCTCAATGTACATTGATTATAGCCCTTCATGCCACTAGAAGTCCTTCCCATACATTCATCCTGCCAGAAATGCAGTATCTATTACGGTAATAGCATAATTAAATAAGCAGCATTTAATAGGTTACAGACAGTAGTACTGTAAGACTTTAGAATGTAAGAACAAATATGACATTCAACACACTACAAAAAAATAAAAACCTGTTACTTTATATTATTCTTGATAGATTAGTGTTTAATGAGTAGAGGGATAGGTTCAAATCTCACCTCTATCATGTACAAATTGCTTGATTTTGGATACTTTTTTTTAACCTTTATAAGCTTCAGTTTTCAAATCTAAAAAAAAAATATGAACACTACTGTTATTACCGCCACCATTAATTCCTATGTCAAAGTGTTGCAAGAGGTTGTTCAGGTATAGAATTCCTCATGGGCCCAGAGTAAGTACTAGGGTGTCGCTGGTAACCACTGCTGCGACTGCTAGGACTAATATTAATACTGCTGCAGCTACGGCCGCCACTACTACTCCAGTTTACGAGAGACAGAGTTCCTATGTACTGATTTCCACTGAATTTCTCTGGCTCTCTGAAGCTCTCCCATGTCTATTTCCTAAACTCTCTTATTTATCTGTACTTAGACAACAGTTGTTCCTTGGACTCAGCAAGGTAATATAGTTTTGTTCTGCCTTTCTTTCATTTATCACTTCACTCATTCACTTGTCAAGTGGCAGTTATTTGATCAACATTCCGTGGAATTTAGAAACATAAGTAGCCAAAGGAATATGTTCCTAAGGGTTGATATATTATTACAGTCTTTAGTAACAGGGTTGCTACAGTGATGCAGTCAGTATTTACTCTGCGGGATCTGAGAGTTTCTACTGCGCGATTAGAGAGAAGGGAGTCTAAGGAAAACATAGCTCGTAACTTAGTAGGGTCTCCTCCATCTAGCTGTGTCGTTATAAATTCCCCTCTTGGACTTTTCTGTTCCTCTTCCATTTACAGTGGACACATAAAATGAAAGGTGGCAAAATTATTCCATGCCTACCACCTACAAAGATGCATTCTTTCTCCTATTTTTAGTGATTAAAGTGTACCATTCCCTGGTGTATTTGAATCTCTGATTATGCGAGTTGGTTCCCATCACAGGAAATGTGTCCTCCAAATTATAGTCCAGTTCACCACTAGGCACCAAAACAGGCTCTCTGAATAAAAACAACCACCCAGTAATTTTACAGAGGTGCTCAAGAGTGTCTTGTGGCGGTAGCAGATGGGGTAGAGAGAGGAGGGGGTGGGGTCGTTTTCTCTCTTCCTCTCCCCACTCCTTCCTTCTTGTCCTCTTAAGCTCTCCTGCTTATTCCCTTCCTCTACCAACTGTTTACTATGAATTTTAATTAAACAGTTTAAAATTGTTTCAGTCTATGTTCACTGCTAATGGTGTGTGTATTACAGATACTTTACTGCAAAGAACAAAGAAGAAATAAAAGCACGGGAGAAATTGCTCACTTCACTGGTGTAGTCGATCTGAAAATAAGGATTTATCTATCACCACGCTCTTACCTGCTGGAATTCGTCCATCTGTAAGAAACAGGTCGCTGAATCCTTCACCCAGCAACCTGTCTATTGGAGAATCTCGCCCCAAATCATAATCACTGTCTCCTGCTTCACTGTCACCACGGCCACTGTCTTTCAAGCTAAATTTGTCCATGTCTTGAAGGGCATATCTAGAAAGAGAAATCAGAGAAAGTATAGTTTTTAGTCTTCAGCATTCGTGTTATCTGCGACTTAATAGGTAGCACAAGGGTAATTCATACCTATAGCTCCTGGAATATTTGTTTCCTCGAAAACTTGGCCTTGGTTGATACTGTCCCTGGTGAAGCATTGAAAGAAGCTGGGAGACCTGCTGGAAACCAAACAGACAGTACTGATTCCTGGAAACAAATCCCCCAATACTCAAAAGCTTGAAGCAAGTAAATACAGTTACTCACTATTTCATGCTAATTATCTAATTCTATCTTCTAATACTATCTCCGTTTTAAAGATTTACATATGCTGGACTCTGAAGGACCACGTAGCCAGCCACCAAACAGAACTGAAATACGTCCCAGAGAAATGTGGATGCTCTCATACAGCTGACATTCTCTTTTTGAAAGAGGACTCCTTTATAGAAAACTGATTGATTCCTTCTATCTTATAGTTCAGATTAAAGTGATCAGTTATAAAAATGCATGGAAAATGCTGTAAAATACATTCTAACACATGTAGTTAAAATAATGTCAGAAACATTTCAAAAGCTGAACAAATACACATGCACTGAGATGGGATTCTGGAGACCCCAGTTTTTTATTTTTCTTCGAGACCACAACTACTGAGAATAAAGCAAGCCTGTTTATTTCTAGCTTGAAGTATCATAATCTGAGGATAAGGGGACTCTAATTAGATAGTCCTTTGCTAGCTTCACATTTACTTTTCAATATTACACATGGTACATGCAAGTAAATTCTTTATGAAAAACTTAAGATGGTACGCAAAAGGTGTGTACACTTGCTATACCTACATAACTGGTATCCTGTTTAATTTGCATATCGTTAGTATTGTTACTTAGTAATGGAAACGTTTAAGAACTAACACATACACAACTTCTGATCACTAACTGACTTTGTCAGTGAATAGATGGAGGGTATGATCTTACCTCAACAGCAGGGGTGGCATGGGTGAGTTCTAATGAGAAATTCTCTGGCACGTGGTTCGATGAGATTGTCACCAAACTGTTGAGGGACTGGTGACTGTTGTGACTCTGCCGGCTGCCCATCTGCCCTCTTTCTAAGGTAGGAGATGAAGAAGGGGACGGTCTGTGATGAGATCTGATGGGCAGAGTGCCGTTGACGGTAGGCACCAATGTGATGTCCCCTTTGTGGATCTGCCTGGAGGGTCTTTTTGGGTGATGCTGGTAAGTTGACTCCGCTACCCTGCAGTTGTAGGACCTAGTGTCTTTCTTTTCTCGGTTACACCTCGTTGCAAACAGCACCATAATAACCAACAACACTGCACAAATTGCTCCTAAGGAAATAATTATAATCATGGAGACATCCAAGGACGCCTGGCTTACTGAGGTCATTGCTGTACTTGTCACTGACTCTGCATATTCAAAGATCATACACTTCAGAAGGACTTTGGTATGCAGTTGAGGATTGCCTTTGTCCTGGATGACAACTGAGAGCTCCCATTCTGTGTAGGGAACAGATTCCATGC